ATAATATGTAATAAATAAAGTTGTTGAAGGTAACGGAGAGTGACGAAAAAATATGAATGATAATTTCTTAAAACTAACATTATTTAATGTAAAACAAATGTTTCCAATGAATTTTTTTTAATAAATGCAAACCTTTAAATTTTTTCTAAGTTTGAAAAAAGTCTTATTAAAATCCAGCTAATCTTTCATTGCAGTTGTCTGAAAGAAGAAGTGAAATATAAAAATATTTCATAGATATGTTCATAATCCTAAATTTGTTTACTGTAGTTTAATAACTCTAGATCTGATATTATATTTAAATAATTACGTATCTATCTTCCGTTTACCTAGACTAATCATCATGTAAACTTTTAGAAAATTAAAGTAGTGAATAATTTGATGAATCTTCTCTTTGTGATATCATAATAGTATCCACTTAAATTAATGTGACAAGTTTTGACCTATCTATGATAATACAAATCTCATAATCCCATTTTAGTAAACTTCGCAATGGATAATAACAGTTTAATAACTAATAGTCATGCAATCCATAATCAACCGTTGATATAATAAATAAAATTTTTGTTATTTTAATGGTAACAATGATTTGTTAGCTGTAAGCTTTAAGCTTCAGCGCGGTTAAAAATGCACTTCATAATTGCCCAACATTGCTAAAAAATAAATTCTAATCAAAGTAGGGCGGTAAGTGAAAGTTGTGTGTTGCGCGCACCAGATTTTTAATATTGTAGTCTATACGTAATACACTTTATAGAACGTATATTGGCCAACCTCATTTCATTACGTTTTTTCGATAACGACATAATCTCTGTAAACTTTACTGTAACTCACAGGTTTTTACTTCACGACTCAGCAGTTTTGAACTTATAGGTTTTTACAAAAGGTGATAGAGATGAAAAGAAACATCAATAAAAAAAAAATTGAGAATCCTAATAAAAGTATTAAAGGTCTTAAAATTAATTCAGTAATATTGAAATGAATAAAATGAAGGAGACAGAAGCATAAAATAAATGACTTTGAAATGAGTTAAAATGATTTATGAATGCAAATATGTCAGAGTCCCTCTTTTTAGTTATTACAACCGACTTTTTACCTCGTGAACCAGCCAAAATTAAGGAGTATTTTGATATAACTTTCCTCGGCGACAGCCCTTTTGGGAATGGGTTCATCAAATGTTAAAAAAACTAAACGATTCGTTCTTAAGTTATTAAATATTGAACGTTTTGATATCTCGCACATCAGCTATAGGATATATTTGATAGATTATATATATTTGGAGATAGATTCAGTAATTTGTGATATTATCAAAAACCTATACCTCTATTACACTTGAAGGGTCTCGAGTTCAGTACTTTGTAAGAAAGTACTGTTTCTTGTTAACGGTTGTGCAAGGAGTTGAGTTGATCGAGATCACACACAACTGACACGTTTTCAAACCAATTCTGAATGAGAGTACGAATTTAGCAGCTCGTCGGGGGTTTAATTTCCTGGGGAAATGAAAGAGCTCCAATCTGATAAACCAAGGGGTGTGAAAAAAAGATGACCACGGGTTCTTAGGTTTGTACCAAGATGGTTCTATATCAACTTTATCAAATTCCACCAACTAGTTTCGCTAATGTATGCCAGCATTTCAAAAAAGCCTAATTCTATTTAATCCAAAGTTTGGAAGAAGTTAGAGAATAGTTTACTTAAAAATAGTTCTGTATAATTTTTATTAAATTCCAAACACACACACACCCACACATATATTTTTATATTTTCTCTAATATTATGCCGATATTAACAATAATATTTGTTTTCCATTGTATCCTCAATAAAAATAGCTATAGTATAGTAACGTGGGATCACCGATTTCAATGAATTTGGGATACTAGGTCGAGAAATGTCCCAGTCTACGTGTCCGAGAGGTCGGGCCGATGCACCACCCTGCGCTATAGATCCTTCAAAGTAAATCATAATAATGCCTATTCATCCCTTTTTCCCAGTCCGCTGGTGTTCCTCAAGGTAGTATCATAGGTCCTATCGTTTACACAGTTTATATAGCTGATATCCCAATCCATCCTAACACTGTCATTACCACGTATGCCGATGATACATGTGTCCTATCAGTTAATAACGACCCAACAATTGCATCTCAAATCCTTCAATCACACATCACAAACCTTGAAGAATGGTTTCAAAACTGGAGGATCAAAATAAATTCCAATAAATCCCATCAAATCACCTTTACCCTTCGTCGTAAACCTATGTCCTCTTGTCCTACAGTATGCTTTAATAACACCCCACTTATCCCTGTTGAACAAATTCGATACCTTGGACTCCACTTAGACAAAACAGCTCGACGTTTCCGACTACTCCAGCACTTACTAGACAAACGCTCTAAGCTCCCAGTCAATTACAGAAGACTCATATACATGACTACAATAAGACCTATTTGGACTTACGGAATTGAGCTCTGGGGCTCCACGAAGCCATCGAATTCCTCTCGTATCCAATCCTTACAATCCAAAATCCTTCGTAAAATCCTCACTGCTCCTTACTTTGTCACAAACAAAATCATCCATTAATGTTCCTTATGTTTCTGACCTGGCCCAATCCAGGTACCTATCCTTCCATAACAAACTTCAGAATCATCCTAACCCTCTCGTTTCTAACCTTGCTTCCTTTTCGATCCCTGACAACCCTCCGAGGCGTCTGAAAAGAAGATGGCCTTGAGATCTCCTTTTGTAAATACATTTTTAGAGTGCTACCAGTGGGTAGTTTCTCAACAAGTGATTTCATGCTATTATATTCTTTTGTTCACATTTACTGAATGTATTTTTACTTATAATACAGTTGTAAATATCATCAATAAATAAAAAAAAAAAAATAGTGGTGCCAAAATAAGTTTATTTCCGAAAAAAGATTTTTTTCAATTTTTTTTTATGATACTTGCCAGTATTATTAAAAAAATAATTTCTATTTACACTTAGGTTCATGCCTCACAGGTCAGAAATAATAAAAATCAACATTAAATTGTGATTATTATTTATTTGTACGTTTCGGGGAATCTATGCCCACCTTCTCAGCAATATTTCATTCTACCAAAAAATATTGGGTAGGTCAATATAATTTAACTTATCAGATGCATATCAAATATTGAACCAAGCTTATTAAATTATATTGACCCACCCAATATTTTTTGGGAGAATAAAATATTGCTGAACAGGGAGCATAGGTTCCCCGAAACGTACATGTAAATAATAATTAGAAGTTAATTTTAATTTTTATTATTTCTGATCTGTGAGGCATAAACTTAACTGTAAATAGACTTTATAATATAAAGGTCAAATATTTTAAATAATATGGAAAACAATAATTTATAAAAAGCTTTTTTAATTATTCGAATAAAAATAAAAAATATATATATTTTATTAATATTGTAAACAAAAAGAAAATTTTTATTAATATTTTCTTCCCGAATTATATGTAATTTGTCTATGTAAACCGAACCCTATTGATTTTTTTTTGTTTCAAAACGGGTTTTAAAGTTTAATTCTTTCTAAAAGCGCCCTTATTCAAGTTTTAATGTTTTTTTACTTACTACTGAAATAATCAGTAATTTTCGGAAATACGTTTTTTATAAATAAAGAATTTACTATTTAAAAATATGTTTTTATTACTAAAGAATTTATTCACAATATTTCTTACTTCTTTTTCGGTGTATACTATTAATTTGCAAGTTTATTTATTACCAGCCAATTATACATCAATTTTTAAATGTTGTCAACTTAATGACTACACAATTACGACGTTTCGGCTCGTCGAGCCATTTTCAAGACTAGATAAATTTTTCAATTTACAATCATATATTAACTTTACATATTTAAAAATATAAATATTCTTTTTATATACCTAAATACCCATCATGTACCGGTCCTTTTAATTTATTTGAATCATTTAATAAGAAAGAATTGAGTAATAATAATTTTGTAAAATAATTAAAGGTGGACATGACAAGAATAATGAACTTTATTATGAGTAGACGCTTGTAATTCGCATAAGTGAAAAGGACAGGTACATGATGGGCATTTAGGTATATAAAAAGAATCTAATCAAGAAAAAAAATTTTAGACTTAAAAATGGCTCGACGAGCCGAAACGTCGTAATTGTGATGTGTAGTCATTAAGTTGACAAAATATAAAAATTGGTGTATAATTGGCTGATAATAAATAAACTTGAAAATAAATAATTTATTTTTTAAAAATGTTTTTATGAATAAATGAGAGAGTGGGGTAGCTCATTGGTAGGGCACTGAGCTTCCAATGCAAAGGTTCCGGGTTCGAACCCCGGCTCATGACAGAAAATTTATTTATCTGTTTCATTGGCCGTGGGGCGACCCTGGGTTGGGAGACCCTCCTGGGGCACACCCAGCCTCTATAAAGTGGGTACCCTTAATTAAATAATTAATTAAGGGGGAAAACCTGGCGGTTGAGCGTGATCTCGGTCAAATCACCTCCTTGCACAACCGTTGACCTAGAAACAGTGCTTTCCCTAAATAGTACTGAACCCCAGATCCTTCATGGGTTGTACTGGTACATGTTTTTTTTTTGTTTTTATGAATAAATAATTTTTTTTTAATATCTATTTTATAAATAAAGAATTTATTTTTTTAATATGGTTTTTATATAACAATGGAAATAGAAAATATAGTTTTTCGCGGTTCTTGAAGATTTGCGAATGTTAATTAGGGTTAACTTAGGAGATAAACGACTCGAATATGATACTTTCTATTCCATTCGATATTAGTTTCTAAACACAATAGATCCCGGACTAGTATGGTAGACCCTTGCTTATTTTCTTCCGAATACGTTGCCATAGAAGGAGGCAATTAATCTATGTGCGTCCATCGTACTCCGCCTTCCGGGCGTCGGCTGACCCCAGATCGAGGGGCGGGCGCTTGCGCACCCTGGACCACTCGATTGACTCCAGTGCCCCGGGGGGAGGAGAGATGCCTGCATGACATGGACATAGTGATGGACTACATCAGGGAATTTGACATACGGCTCGAGAAGGAAATGTTCTACGCCGGTGAGACGCTGACGGGCCATGTCATCCTTCACACGGTCGAGAACTTCAAGCTCAAGTGTAAGTCCCATCTCACCGCCATCCTTCCCCCTCGCACCTCACTCTGTTTGTCAACATCCATCCCCTCCCGCTCGTCTCCCATTCTTATCCATCTTACTTAATGAAACTGGTCGATATTCATTATCATTTGTGTGAATTAGGGAGGTGATAATTATAGGGTGTCATGATGTAGCAATTAATCCACGGTTTATTAACTGTTGCACTTTGATCATATATTTCATTATAAATACAACCTGTACAGTATAAAGTTCTGTGGTATCGATTGTTTATAACAAGTAAACAAGTTTTGATGATTTCGTTGATAGCTCCTAAGATTAATTGTTTTCATTATTATTTAACAAATACTATAGTGTTGCAAAATTTCTTAAAAAATTTAGACTACAAATTACACCTTAATCTTCCACAATTTCACAACTAACTTAAAATAAGTAGAATTGCATGGAAAACATGATATCACATTTATTTTCAAAATTTAGCTCTTTAATTTCACTAAAGTACATGAAACGCGAATAAAATAAATTCAGTACCTATATACATGGGTTGATTTTGATTTTAAAGACGAAACATTTTTATCGCAAAAACATTAACCAAATCATAGATTATCGAAAACAATTATTAAAAATTATCAGTTAAATTAAAAAACAAAACAAATTACACTATTATATTTAGTGATTAAATCTTTTAAAATACATTGTTGTACATCATCGGTATTGATGAACTGTAATAATTTCTAAATAGTTTGGAAAATATTTCTTTGGTTAGAAACCAATTTCCTAACAATTAAAATATAATTATTTTTTATTACATTTTGGTCTATCTAATTTAATTTAATGTTTTCCGAAAATTATAAACATTATGATAAATTTAACATAAAGTCCAACTATCTACACGATTAGGGCAAAATTTTTGGGGGCGTGTAAAATAGTTCAAAGAAAGCATCATCAACTTATCAGGTCTGACAAATAAGAACGGTTCTGTCATAGTTAAAAATATAACTGCATAGAAGAATAAAATATCATGTCCAACATATATTTTTCTCTTATTCACCTTTTCTTTTCCACTGAATTTTCTTTTTCACCTGGTTTTCCACTGTGGTCTTTAATTTTTTTCATTAATTCACACAGTCCTCATTTTTCGTATTGTACAGAAATTACAACCCATGAACATACGTCTATTAAAATCCAATTTCATATTTTTATTCACACTCTTTGTAAATTTCTACTTCTGTAACTTCTCTTACTTAACCCTCTATAATTATATTTTTTGTGATAGGTATTATAAGATAAATTCATCTAAAAACCTTTCGCTTCAGCGAGAAGAAACTAATGAGAAATTATTTTGGATAGTAAAATGATATGATGTAACGATGTATATTTGAATAAATCCATATTTTTCATAATACAGGTTTGACCTTTGTTCTTTTTACATTGACACATTTTCCTAATGGTCAGAATGCTGACCTTTAGGCAAATATATCAATGTAAAATCCATATTTGTTACAAATAAATGATTAAAAATGAAAGATCTTCTAGGAAGGATCACTGCAACAATATAAATTTACTAGAACTCTATAAATCATCTATAATTAGTTCACTTGAGCAATAGATCATCATATTTTTGCTTTATTCATAATATTTAGACAACAAACGATCTAATAAGTCATATTTTCAAACGTTGCAGTCGTTATCTGATCAACGAGCGAATCATCAATCTTACAAGCCCTTTCTTATTATTTTTTTGGAATGATATTAATGATGTTTTTTTTGTCTTATCTACGTGAAAATAATAATACAATGCAAATAGTGCTAACCTATATTTTATACAGTAAATATCTAACCGGCTTAAATGTTTGATTTCAGATGAACTTATAAATATTTGCATACAAAATTAATTTTTTCAATATTTATATATTGCGCGTATGATAAAATATAACTTGACTAGTTTTCACTAATAATAAATTGAATCGTCATTAACAAACTAGTTTCGGGTATTTATTTATTTAGTAACGAAATTCTTTTAATATTATGTATAAATAAAAATAGTATATGAATATTAATAAGTATTTATCAAATTCTTTTTAAAAGTATGTATTTTATATAAAAAAATTATTTTAATTTTTTTTTTTGGGAATATTTCAGAATATTTTACTTTAACTAAATTATTCTTTATAAATACCTATGTAGCTTACTGGAATATCCCCACATTATATATTAGTTACTTGAAATATATTTAAGTACATACGACAACATAAAATTGCCATGTTAATGAATTATTTTATTGATGATTTTAACTAAAGAAATGGGAACGAGTTACTAAAGAAATATATATCATTTTTAAAAAGAAAAAAATACACGAATATTATCAAAACTAGATATTATAAAATCGAGAGTTTTTATATATAATATTTCTATTATGTTAAATTGGACCTCCTTCCAGGCTCAGTTTAATTTTCGAATATTAAAATATTTTATTTTAATATACAAAAAGTATATATATTTTTATTTTATATTAATCATTTTTATACTCGAACAATATTATGTTCTACTACAATTAAGTTCATTAATTCATTTTTATTTATTTATTTAAATACTCGAAACACTTATATGGTGAAATTTAATAATGGTAATAGAATGTTTCCACTGCTTAAAATTTTTATTTCCCTAAATTTCTTTGATTATTTAGAAATTTGGAAGAATAGCAACATGGTCCCTTAAGTACCATAGAGAATGGTGCTACTAAACTCTTGGTGATGACAGAATAGTGTACCATTTTTTTTAAATATTCATAAAAATATTGAAATTTAGTAAATGAAGAAGGATGTCGAAAAAAATAAATGTTGCTTATTCTACTTAAGGTAGGTGCAGTGCATTAAGTGAAATTTTGAGCGATTAATGTTTCCTCAGCGATGAGAAACAGGGACTTGAAAAGTAAAATACACATGCTTTGCGAAATAAATGGTGTTGTTGATAGTTGAATGAGTTACTCAAGTTGATTTATTTTCTGTTTTGACAGAGATCTTATACTCAAATTGTTGCTTGGTCAAGTGATTCATTGTTCTACACAAATCGTATTTTATTAAGTACTAGCTTTACCCGGCCACGCGCTGCTGTGGCTTAGCCTGGCAAAATGAAAAAGAAAGAAAATAGAAAGCACATATGAGTAGATTAGTGGCAAAGGACATCTGTAATTTTTAAAAAATTGGGAAACAAATTTGTCTGTAAAATGGCTTCAATTGAAACTAATTCTAATTGATTTTTTTCTCATGATTCAAATTGAACATTCATAATCATCTGAGTAAATACGCCGTCATTCATAATCATCAGAAACAGCCTGAGTTGAACTTATAAATCTAAATTATAAAATTAATTTTAAAAAAGTATAATAGTATTGACCTACATAAGGAGAATCATATAAATTCTTTAAATGATAATTTCAATTACTGTAGTAATTATAAAATTTTCTTTTAATCAATAAAAAAAAAAAAAATGCTTGCCGACGTTCGGTAGTGAGGAAGCAAAAGGAAACGGCCTTTTCTGAAGAGAAAGCAGTAAATGTTCAATACTCAATAACTCTGCAACGAACCGTCAGCAATTCAGAAATCTTTTATATAAATGTGGGTATTATCATTCAAAAATTGTGTACTTTTTTAGTTATCGTCAAATAAAATATTGAATTCATCGTAACATTTTTCAGCTTGTTTTCGGGAAAGTATGTTATACACATAAATTAAAAGGGTTTCAAGGGGAAGACTTTAACCAAGTTTCGTTAAAATCGGTAAAGCCGTTTTGGCACTACAGTTTATAGCGACACATTTTTTGCGGCTTTGAACAGAAAAACATTTACATTTTTGTTTTTTTTACATATATAAAATTATCGTAAGACAGAAGTACTATGCCAGAAACCTTCCCAGGAGTGTACGTAACAACTTCCTAAAGTTGCATGGCGATCGGTTGAATGGTTTAGTAATGCACTACGGACAAACAGACGGACCGACAGACATACATTCATTTTTATATATATAGAAGATAGATTTTCCTTATATTATATTACAGAACCTTAACTTCTTAACCTTTAAAAAAATAAATTATTATAGGAATGAAATTAGAACTTATTTTATTTTAAGTATTTTGTTTGCATTTTAGTATAAAATTTTATGGGCAGAGATCGATCAGCTTGCTCCATTAGACAAAGAAAATTCTTATTAATTAAAAAACTCTAGCAGCAAGAGAGAAAAAAAATTAATGAAAAATAGCGATGCGTGCATAATTAATCCGGACTAACGAAATTCTACAATTTATTCCAGTCAAATCTAATTCAAAGCAACATTTTTTTAAATTAAAAAGTTACAATTAATTAGTATATTTAAATTTTATCGTTTCTTCATTGTTGATGAAACATGAATTAAAATCTTTTATTGGACAAGAATGGTCATCATAACTTTTGATGATTAAAAAATGGTTACTATCCTAATTTTTTTGGTTTCAAATTATTTGATGAGTGGTAAATAACTTTATCGATCTGTATCGATATTGGGATATGCTCAATAAAGTTTCTATGTCATACGACAGAGCAAAAATACTTATTCATTTTTTCATCCACTTTAACTAGTTAAATAAAAATTAATTCAATATAATAAATTCTGAGAACGGCTCGGTTATTGGTGCATACATCTAGTGGCCATCTACCCTTAATGACAAAGGGCCGATTAATATTACCAGTTCTCTGAAAACAAAAAATGGCATTTTTAAATATAAAAGCAATAGCGTTCTCTTTTAATTGAAAACAAAAATGTAATGTTTTTGCAGTTAAATTGTCACTTAATTGAGAAAAAAAATTCAAAATAAAACTAGACCCCTCCTGTAAGTCATACATATGTTTATTCATTTATTATTAAATCGAGGTGAAGTAATAATATAATGATGATTAAACGGCATTATTAATCTTCCTGCAGAAGACAGGACGTAAACCACAAAGAGAATATTTCGTTTGTACCGAGCTAA